ACAATCCATCGCTTCACTCAGAATTTATAATAGTAGGTAACATGTAGAAACAATAATGACTAATAGTTATTGTATAATTTTAATGTCTTATCAAAAATTATTAGAATTATTAAAATAATATTTTAATTTCATTGAACATACAGGGTGAAGTTGGTTTACCAGGAAGACCAGGAAAAGACGGAGAACCTGGAAAAATTGGTGAAATTGGTAAACTGGACTTTTGTATTAAAATTAAACATTTTTCTTTCAAAAAAAAAATTCGATTAGATATTGACAATTTATACTCCATTAAATTTGAATTAAATTAACACTGTAATTTGTCAACTATTTCTCATATTATGATATTCTATACATTTTCATATTTATGATTTTTTATAAACACTATAATCACAAAAAAATATTGGTGATTTATTAACAAACATACAACAATATTCAAATAATATAAAATACGTATCTATAATTCATTATATTGTCAACAGGGCCTTCGGGAGAAAAGGGAGAACGTGGAAAACGGGGACCAAAAGGTAATAAAATTTATAATATTATTATTACATGTCTACTATTGATATTACCACTGTTAATAATATATAAAATTACCTATTTAATAAATATTGTATTCTTTTACATCAAATATCAATTATATTCAATTACATATTCATTTTGCAAATAATAAGCAAAATTATATACAATAATTATTATAATGTAACACACCTCAAACACTTACAGAAGCCAATGTTTAAGTAAAAAGTTTTACTGTTTTAGAAATCAATAACTTCACTCTAAACAACATAAGGTTAAAAAAGTCACAATCAATGAAGATACTTGCGATAGAATTTTACAAAATCAATTTAAATTTTAAATTCTAATGATTTTTACATTTTCTGACCTTTAAAGGTTGAGATTTAAGTATATTATGTATTAGAAGCGACAAATTGATTAATTGATACCCTACAGTTAATAATTTATTATATAGATTTTATTTTTCTATAAAAAAAAAAAACAAATTATTATTATTTTACTGAGTACCTATAACTGAAATGTATCACATTGAGGGTTAAAACTACTAAAATTTTAAATATTTAGAAAACAATTTTAAGACTCGTAATTACTTTTTTAGGTATTATTTATATGATACATAACTAAAAAAGTAATTGATACATTTTCTATGTTAAAGTTACACAATAAATACGGCGACAATAAATTAATTTATCTGGACTTTACTTTCATGTAAAAAAATGTGTGCGATTATTGGACGCAACGCATTTGATTTCTATACATTGTTTGCACGGTTCGCATAAATCAAAAAATATTTTCACTGCACAATTTATTACGTAAATTATTTATCTGATGTATATTTGATAACATCTGACCATAATATTGTGTACATACATATTGTGAGTCCTAGACATACTGACCTACTCTATTCCATTTGTAAACACGAATATTTTATCTGTCAAATAATGATATTTATTATATAAATAGGAGTAATATTATGTATCAGCCATTTTGACAGGGCCTAAAATTGCCTTTATTAATTAGTATCAATATTCAGCACAGTTCTGTGTGTTACCTATTTGAAATTTAATTTATTGGAAAATATAATAGAGTGTGTTTATAAAATTGAATGATATTTTGATATTTGACTAGTGTAGTGTAATCATTCCAGGACAATTATTTCAATTAGTTATATGATGCAAATAATTAAATATGATTTTAAAAATGTCATTCGTAGAATATTGATTTTTTGTTATGAAATTACAGTATATTATGTAACTGATTATCTTAAAATATTGGTTGACTTCAATAGTTTTGGAATCTATCTAGGTATCCTGATGTAACCTTAAATAAATTAACATTTCATCATTCAAAATATTTTTATTTCCTGTATCTTTCTTAAAAATATTAAAATCACCAATTTGAAAGACACTAAACATAACATAGTTATCAAAATAAGTTTTCATTTTTATCTAATCGTGTTGAAACGTCGATTTATCAAATAACCATTTTAAGAATAAAATGTAATCGTAATGTTGCGTATTTCCGCATGAATGAAACGTTGTCATTTAAACTAGTTCTTCGCCGTAATATTGGCACTAAAACTTTCATTGTGTTTAAATGGTTTTTTGAGTGTGTTTTTTACTTATGTTTATATATTATATATACAGTATACTCAACCTTCGAAAAATGGCACTCCACTACCTTGAGGCAACGATTGCTGTAGTTTTTACTATAGTAACATAAAAACAAAATGTCATATTTACGTAACTATTATTTTAGGTCATCCTGGAGAAATAGGTCCAATGGGTATCAAAGGCCACGAAGGCGAGAAAGGTGACAAGTGTGAACGAGGAGATCGAGGATTTGAAGGTCAAAAAGGAGAAATGGTAATATATAAACCACTATTTGATAAAGTTTCTTAAAATTATCAATGAAAACATCAGTCAAAGTATCATATTTTATAATATAAAAGTATCTTTTTTTAGCTCCCTTCTCACTATTCATTTTTATTCTGCAAATATAGATATTTGCATACTTATAATTTTCCTTTTCCAATATTCAATAGCTATCAACAAAATAAATACAGCATCATCCATATATTTAAGATAACAACGGTAAAAATTGAATTTTAGAAAATAGGAAAGAGAAGTCTAACATGATATAAAACTTTAACATTTATCTAATTAAAGCCTACTGGTATTTTTTAATAATCATTTCCGGGAGAAATTCTCAAGAGTAACTCATTTAATGGGAAAACAACCACTTCTTTAACAAAAATAGTGTTTTTAAACGATCATTTGATTAAATATAATAACTACAACTTTGGTAAAAGTTAAAAGTACAAATACTGAAATGTTTTATGACTTAATTGTAATATATGAGTCAACATTCATAGTAAATTTTTTTATAAAAAATATAAATTTATTTTTAAATATTATTTAAAGTATTATGTATGACCGAGAATACAAAATATATTCAGGTATTGATACCTGATAAACCAATAAATGGCCAATAAATATATTCAAGATACTCGTATTTCATTTCACTTAAGGTAAATACGGGTTTTTTATAATTATTGTTTTTGTTGTCTTATATTAATTAAGATTTTGTATCAGTGATAGTACGTCTTAATGAGAACGTGAATTATAAAATGTAGTATTCCATCTTAATGTGAATACTGAATACGTTAAATGATATAGACTCTAATTTAGATGTTTTTAATTGTAGTACAATACAACAAAATTAAAATGCCATCATGTAAAAATAAGATTTACGATATTATTATTATTATTATTATTATTATTATTATTATTATTATTATTATTATTATTATTATTATTACCATTCGTGAGCATGAACGTCTTAAGACCTATTCAATGTAAACGATATTACAACCAAACAAAAGAAAATGTTAGAAAATTGTTTTTCTTTGTGTTAAAAAAAAACAAGTATTTACAATACGGTTTTTGTGCTAAATGAGAGTCATTTGTCAAACGGAAGTGAGGATTAACAACAACAAAAAATGTTCGTTAAGATAAATGAGTTTATGTATAGTATTTACTATCTAGAAACATAGAAGCCTTGGATATTTGATTAAAATAATTAAAACATTGAAAAATACCTTACATGAACTGGTAGATACCTCAAAGATCAACAAAGCATTTAATAGATTGGTTTATTCACACATCTTATTTGGAAATTTATATTTAATTACTTATACATTTGTTTATCACTGGTGAATTCTTGTTTTTTTTACTTTTTCTAGTAATTAAATAGTAGCTAAAAATGAATAAGTTTTTTGTATAAAGTTTACAATATAACAAATTATTATTTCTAAGGGCCCCATTGGATTAATAGGAACTAAAGGCAATGATGGTCCGGTTGGAATTCCAGGTGTTGAAGGTTTGCCAGGTCCCAAAGGAATCGAAGGAGTAGCTGGAAACAAGGTTTGTTGGAATAAAATGTTTTATTCACTTTCTAGAAATAAAAATGAGAACAAAGTTAGTTTTCAATATATATATCGAGGAAGTAACATCGTAATTCCTATTAAAATCTAAAAAACTTCTTCTCCACTATTTAAGTAAATACAATTACAGTAGTTTTCAGAAGTTCCTTTATCGTACAGTGGAAAATATTCGATTTTTATTTCCGTACAGGGCGAACAAGGATCTCCAGGACCTCCGGGTCCTCCGGGACCACCTGGTGAATTACCACTATTACCACCTGAATTGGCGGGATTTCAGCAAAACGCTTTGGCCCGTTGGAGACGGGAATTCAATGACATCAATACCGAAGACAGTGCAAAAACAAAAACGAGTAGTTCGGGGCCGAGTGACAATAACGATGGCCCTAAATACATAGACATTGTTAGTTCAATTTACAGTATGAGACAAGACTTGGAACGAATAAGAAAGCCCGTCGGAACCCGTGAAAACCCCGTCATGACGTGCAAAGATTTGTTTTACGGGCATCCACAGTTTAAAGATGGTAATAATTATAAATATATTCATACGATAAACGTTAATTAGTTTACGGTATCTTATCACACGAACTTACACAGAACCGAAATTGTATAAATAATGATCAAGCAATTACAATTATTAACAGTGTATACGCTTTTAGACTTTAGCGAAACACACAAGAACACAAGAACAGTTATGATTACTTATGTAACCAAAACCTATTAATTATTGTTATTAATATACTTAAGTAGTTGACACAATACCTCCGTAAAAAGTTATAGTCGTGCTTAAAACGGTTATTATAACTCCTACGCATAAAATATCAAACAATATTCATGGGGTGGTAGATTAATTGTGTCGGATATAACCTATTTGTGTACAAAATCACTGGAATACTAAAATTACTATCCGATTTCAGAATTATTTGTCCGTTTCATTGTAGAACATTCAATTTATTCAAAAACTTTATCCAAAACTATTTGTTCGGATCCAGTGTATTAAATATATTATATCACATGCATCCTAATTGCTTATAGTTAATTTACTAAGTACACGATGTATAATATACATTATAAACAGTTGTTGTTTTTTTCGATTAACTGTTTAAATGTAAAATAACGATTATTCACAGCTTACATGCTTCTGATATATTTACCGATAGTGTACAAATTAAAATGCGCAAGTGATTTTACTGTTTAAATAATGAAGCTATAAACAATTTTATTTTTATTTCGTAGTATTTTGAGTGAATATTGAAAATGATATAGATTTTGCGCTAAGGTAATGTTCAGCTGAAGATAGTTTAAAACTGAAAATTTTTTACAGTTTTATAGCAAAAATATTAAGATAATTTATGTATTATGTTAAATATAGATGAGTTAACCAATTCAAGCAACTTCGATTCTATCGTCCTTTTAGGCTAATGGTTATCATATATTGGTACACACAATATAAATAAAGTTATGTTTCCAAAGATTTATAAAAAAAAAATGAATTAATCAATAAATTCATAATTTTAAAATAAATTTATTGGTAATTAGTTTGAATAGTTCTGTTTTTAGTCATTAGTGATATGCGACTGATCCGGTTAAAATAATTTTAGAACCCTAATCTAGACTATAAAAAATATTTATAAGGTACATCATCGAAGAAAGAAAAATCATTCATTGTATTCCTCAAATCACGATGTGTAAACTATGTCTTAGGTACTTGTTAAGTGAAAAAAATTTTTTTTAACCGAACTTTAAATTTTACATCGATGGATGCAAAACCACAACAATAATACTAGAGAATATTGTCGTACCGAAAATGTATGAAAATAATATAAATTTAAAACTGAATTTCAATGAACTAAACCGTTATGAATTTGTCTATATGTAATATTACTAATAATTTATTCCATTGCCATTGGCGAACGATAAATATATCTTGTCGAATTCAAGCAAAAATAATAATATTATAATTTTGGGGCGAGCTCAATGTAGAATGATTGATTTCGCAAGGCTATATTATAATCGCTACCTGACCGCCAGACGAACCGTTTTATATTATTGATAATCATTAATAATAGTGTCAGATGAGAATATTGTATAATAATAATATATTAGGTATGCATTGGAGTACTACGAACTGTATCGTAGATATTTACGTCAAACGTCTCTATAAATTATAAAATTATTTTGTAATATCGGTCCAATGACGGTGTTAATGCGTTTTAGGATGGTACTGGATTGACCCAAACTTGGGTATGCCATACGATGCCGTGTACGTGTACTGTAACATGAGTAGCGGAGGAGAAACTTGCGTATTTCCAGACATACACTCAAGTCAAATGCCGAACATCCCGTGGCGTAAGGAGGGTGACAAGACGGACTGGTATTCAAATCTCAGGGGTGGTTTCAAAGTAAGATATTATTGAAATACGATAATATAGTAAACTGCGCTCGTCTGTGTCGTGTGTGGCGTGTGCGTAGATGTCGCAGCAGGTATTCAAAAATATTATAAAATAAAAAAAAACAACGTTTGCCAAATCGAATTACATTTTAATCGCCATGATTGCTGGGGCTGCGATTTTTCGGGTAAACTTTTTTCCCCGCGTTAGCTCGCCGCCATTTGCCACACATCACCGTCGAATGATGCGTCATAAAAAATCGTTTTATGTTTACCCCGGTGACAGCATCACCGGAAATCCATCAGCATACTTTTGAGGACAGGATCTCATGTAATAGTTATATTTGAACATTTTAATGTAACCTACTCCTCGGCCGTTATATTGTGATGACGACTGTTGCGGCTCGGGTACGATATTTGTTATAGGACGATGGAAGAATGTTTTCAATAATTCATAAATAATAAATTATTTATTAATTTCCATTGCGCGCAACTTTACTATCGTTATTTTATAATTATTATGACATTTATCATGTATGTGTAATGTGTATGATTTAATTTCATAATATATCATTTCATTGAATTTTCCAGAAAAAATAATTGCTAAAAAATGGAAAAAATATTCAAATAATAATCAATAAAATGTCATTACTTATTCGCTATAGATGCTTACAATAAATTGTATTGTAATTTTTAATCCTAGATCTTCGTATAATCAGGATTTTTTAATCGATTTTTTGTCGATTACGCTTAAATAAACAATTTGATTTCCATTAATAATTATTCTGTATATGTTTTGAAGTGGGTAATAACTTATAGCCATTTTGAGTACCAAATTAAAATAGAAAAAAAATTTATGTTCTCATTAAATGAAATACTAAAAATTCAGTTTTTACATTCATGTAAGTACCTACTTACATATAAAATAAGATATTTATACTCATTTTTATGGAATTGAAAGATGTGTAAATGGTAAAAACTATGCTAACAAAAAACCACTCAAAAATATTGACGAACATACTGTATGTTCGATAGATAAATATTAATAAATGTAAACATTTTTTTTTATTGTTCGTACACAAATATTATTTTCTGATGCATTTTTTTACTTATTCCTAATATAAGGCCTTTAAATAAATGGGTGAAGCAAGAAGTGTTGTATAAATCCCAGAGTGTTCCATCTAACATTTATCATCGTTTGACGAATCTTAAGCAAGGTATCTTATAAGAAGATTAACGCAACACCATATTATCATCCTTTTTGGTGTAATTTCGAGTCTTCGGTTTTAATACTGTAATTTATTGAACACATTCATTACTATAAACACGTACACATGAAGCATGTACATTTATTAGGTTTATAGTTGTAATCTAATTGTACGAAATTACTCATCATTGTTTAACGATTTAGTTTTAATTATCTATTTCATATAGACTCACTATATAAAACACATTACAAGTTAATATTTTTCTTTAATACACGTCTCATGGGAAATTAAAAACAACTCTTAAAATTCAAAAAAATAATTAAGATTAATGTTGTGGGATTTGAAAAGCACTTGTATAATAATCAAAATAACACTCACTGAAATTTATAAACTCTTGTATATTTTCTAAATGATTCTAAACACCACCTTCATAGTTAGCAAATATCAACAAGTTACAATAACTCAAGGGTCATGTTCTAAAATAATTTTTTTAGAGATCCGTAGTATGCACTTTTTTTATTCACAAACAATATAAAAAACAAACTACAATAACTTTTTTTGCATGTTAAGATATTTTGTTCTAAATAAACATTGAACTATTTTTAATAAAACTTAAGTGTACGGAGTACAGTGTTGTGCTCTACAATTCTAAGTACAACAACTTTACTTTTTTTAAAGAATTGTAAGTGAGCGAAATTCATCTATTATTTTCATAAACTTACTATTAAAATATTATAACTTAACATCATAATTTTAAACATATAATAACCCACTTTATTTATAATCAGCATTCATAATTTTGTATAAGATTAAATAAAACTGAATTTACTGGAAAAAATTTAAAATACTATTCTTATTGTACTAATTCGTGGAAATGAGGCAGGTAGGATTATTATTTTACTCCAAGTATTACTTATTACGAGCACATTGCTTTTCCAAATATCTTTTTTAAATTAAATAGAAAACATTGAGCTGAATCTCAAATATTTGAGTCAACTGAGCTTCTTTTAATTATCAATATAAATTTGAAAAATCCAACCGATTGGTTGGATCGATTGATTGTATAATCTTTAATAAAAATGAAAAACAAAATTAATAATCATAAAATCTCTAAAAACTTTTCTTCAACTTAAAAGTTTTAAATCTACAGGATTATATATTGTAGGAGTCTATTGTTCAAGAATATTATCTTCGCAAGTTCCTTATTGTAGTTAAAACTAATTTAATGTAAAATTCCCAACATCTATTCCGTACATCAATGCCAGTAGCAATTAACAATACTTTTACAAACTAGCTTTTTTATTAGATTAAACTATTGTTATTTTTCCAACACGTCTTGACGATAGCTCCATAAAATCACAACAATAATACTAAAAGATTCAATCAACTTTAGTTATCTCAGTTATACTTAGTAATCAATATTCGACATTATGTATAAAATATTCATAAATAAATATGTATAATATTATACAAAATAAATATTACATCTCATACTATTTTTAATTCCATTTAATATAATACCTATATTTTATTTATGAAATTAAGAAAATTTTAACACAAATATCTCTTAGGCATTTTCTACAAAAAAATACATTTTGCATTCTTATTGGCTAATGCATCTACTATTTAAAATTACATTATTATCCATCTGCCTCTTCTAAACTATATTTCTATATAATTTTTAGAATACTTAGTTTAATGTATGTTCATTAAGTTATTCGAAAATACTTAAGTTTCTAAGACTGTAATACAATATATAAATGTTTAACCAACAATGGATTTTGGGAATTCTTGCGTGGGTAAATGTTCATCTATTATTATGCTTTTCAAGTTGGTAAAAGTCAAATTAATTTTTCAAATTCTTATTTAAAAAAATTTATGATTTATGTATAGACAATATAATATGTATCTTCAATAGTATTATTGAGAAATTCATATACTTTTTAATAAATATTTTGACAATCAACCGATAATAACCTTCTAAAATGTCTTAAAAGCAGCACTTCATCACTCTTTCATTGAAAATAATCATTGTCATCTATTTTATTACGTAGTAACGTCAAATCTACAAATTCAAAGCTAAAAATATATCAATATCGTAGGAACCAATTTAATAATTGTCGAAAAAGACGATAAATTAAAAATGATTTTATAATAAGTAGAATTTCATCAATTTAAATTTATATACATTTAAAAAAAAGTTCAAGGTTTAGTATTCAATATTGGAAATCATTTCAAACTAATATCAAGTTATAAACCTGGGTTGTTTCGGGGTGTTTTCCGACCAAATCTTATCGTTACAAAAAGCATGTTGCATTTTGGCTACAAATATTTTTGCCACCCACAACACAGAATTATATTTGCTATCAAAATGTAATATTATGGTTTTTATTTGGTGTGAATTGTTCAAGTGTTTGAATAAAACAATACAATATGTCATTCAATGTATGAATTACCTTACTGTGGATAGATACAGTAAAACCACAATAATTTCGCTAAAATGTATATTTTGCATTGTTATATTGTTAATAGATTACTTACGAAACTGTGGGACCAGTGCAAATGAACTTCCTACGACTTCTCAGCCAAAATGGATACCAAAACTTCACGTACACGTGCATCAACAGTGCTGCGTGGTTCAATGCAAAGTCCAACTCATACGACATGGCTGTCAAGTTTATGGGAGAAAATTCGATACAATTTTCGTCTGAACAAGGATCACCAAAAGTGGACGTGTTAGTCGACGGCTGCAAAGTGAGTAGAAATCTTTTTGTTTTTTATTAAAGAAATGGGCTCAATACATAGTTTTAAGTATAAAGTAGGTATTACCACCTTCTAGCATTTTGACACGATATTGTGATAATGATAAAACGCTATAACGAAATGAGGAACATCCTGCAGTTGAGTGGTTGAGAGCAAAGTCTAAACATTTCATTTTAGATATTAAGCAAAGCGACAAATGTATTGATTTTACTATGATGTGTGGTTTTATAAGTGTGTATAATATGCGTGTGTGTGTGTGTGTGTGTGTGTGTGTGTGTAACTGTATACAATACATTTAAGTATCTAATACATATTTATTACATAAGATATGAAAATTGAATACAAGATTTCTCATATGT